GCCAAGGGTGCTAAAGGGGAAAATACATCCGAACCCACTGGTGCTCAGAGCCTGGCAGCTGCCTGTGCTCTCCCAGGCTCTGCCCGCTTGCCCACCTGACCCTGGGGGGGGGACAAGGAGAGGGCAGCTCACCTCGAACACCGCCCCAGGCAGCCTCTGCCGGGCTCCTTGGAGCTGCTCCCAGGAGGGCCGGGGACTGGGTGCCAGCAGAGACCCGCCAGCACCCACGGACAGGGGCAAGGTGAGGGCGAGCAGGCCGTCCCACAGCCGCTGCTGCCTCCCCCACCGGCAGGGTGGGCCTGCATGGGACATGGGCTCACTTTCAGCACGTCATCCTCAGGGACAGGTTTTGCCCCATCCCACCCTCATGGGCTGGCCCTGGGTCCCCCACTCCTCACCCATCCCAGGAGCCACTGAGCCACCCCCTGCTCGCCCAGGGTGCCACTCCGCTACCCCAGGCGCTACCGTCCCCAGGGTGCCCATGCCGGGCTGCCCAGCTGGGGGCACACAGTACTCCCCAAAGCCCTCAGCTCGGAGCAGGCTGCCGCTGACCTGCACCGATGGCAGGAGGGGCACCTCTGCACAAACCTGCCGTCTTCTGGGACTCAGGTGGGCACGGGGGAAAGAGGGTGAGCAGGCAGGGATGATGTCAGCCACAGCCGTGTAGGCGCCTGTGAGGATCTGGGGAGAGACACGATGGCACAGGGAGGCTGAACCTCCCTGAAATGCAAAACCTCAGGCAGCAGGTCACAGCTCCCTACGTGAGGGGCTGCATTTGCCGTGCCATCTTGAGCCAAGCTGCCAAAATCCTCCCCCCTCCAGGCCCAGCAGCCCAGGGCAGCAGAGCAGCACCTCCAGCCGCAGCGGAAGCTGGGCAGGGTGCAGGGGGGTGTCCCCACCCTGCCACATGGAGCCTTGCCTACCTGGATGCCAAGCTGGCTGGCGAGCAGCACCCTGACTGTGTTGCAGATGTGGCCCAGAAAGCCATACAGGAGGCAGAGGAGGGACGCCTGCTGCCGGCCCTGCCCCAGGCACCCGCAGGACAGCCTAGGGCAGAGGAACAGGCTGCTCCAGCCATGCTCGGTGCTGCGGGATGTCGGAGTAGAGCAGTCCCACAGCCTCCCGCAGCCCAGCCCAGCCCCGGGGAGTTACAGCGAGCGGGCAGCGATCCAGCACAGCACGGCCAGCATCCAGAGCCCCCAAGACACGCAGCCTGGCTCCCTAGTCAGGCAAGCTGCTGGCCAGGCAGCAGAGCCGCTCTGCCCTGTGGCCAGCGTCCCCTGCATGGCTGGCTCCGAGCATCCCTGGGCAGGGAGTGACACCACAGGCTGCCAGCACCACCCCGCAGGCGTAGCACCCAGCACCACCCTCCACCCATGGTACAGCACCCAGCAGCTCCCCCAGGGTAGAAAGCACCACGTGCTGCTGGGAGCAGACTCCAGGCCAGGCTAGGGCTCCCTAAACTGGGCAGAAGAGATGTGGAGGAGAATGGCAGCTCCAGCTCCTGCCCTGCAGGGAGGAGAGTTGTACTTCACAATGCAAGTACAAGATATTGTAAAAGGGAAGTTCAGCTTCAAACCGGCTCTGCGCTTCTGCTGCGGGTATCGGTGCAGCAGGTAACGACATCAGCCAGGAAAATGAACTGCTTGCATTATAAAGCAAAGCCCCCTAAAAGGGGAGGCAGACCGCTGGGGTGCTGAAAGTGCACCAGTCTGTTCGTTGGGATCCGCGGCCAGTTGCAGCCCGCACGCTCCCTCTACATGCACAAGGTGCTGTAAGAAAACAGCACTCAAAAATGGACACTTGCCTTCTGCGGAAAGCAACGGGAGCAGCAGAGAGAGGCTCATTCAGCAGGTGGCCAGGGCGAAGCACAGCGTCTCCTTTGTGCAGGCTCCTGACAACAGAGCAGTCCCCGCATTGCCTCACGCCTGCCAGCTGCTTGTATGCGCTGTATTGAGCTGTCAACACGGCCCGGCTGGCGTTCCCTGGCAAGGTTAGGGCAGGGCAGATGCAGTTCAGCAACAGACCAAACCACCACAGGAAAGCATTAATTTAACCATGATCCTCACCTATTACCTAGTTTGCCCACTGCTCAATAGCAGCATAAAATACTAACACGCCTTTACATCCACAACTCTTGTTTATGGTCCTCCTTCTAGCAAGGCAAGAGTCTTTTAGCACAGCAAAGAGCAGTGTGCATTTAACACACCTGAGCAAACATATTTGCTCAGTCATATTTACATTATCCTCCATCCACTCACGCAAACACTACAAGTGGTTTGGCAGGTCTTGTGGCCAAAGGTTTCTGTGAGCAACAAGCAGAGTCGTCCCAAGCCTCAGGCCCTGGGGATTGCTGTTATTCACCAGATTTGGAAGGGTCTACGCCAGGACACAGCCTGTCCAGCAAGGAGGCTCACGGAGACCCAGCTGGCAAGAAAGGGCTGAGAATGCAAAAGAAGAAAACTCAGGTACGTGCAACAAGAACAAAGAATTCAAAATGCTTGAAGGAGAGAAATAGAATAGGAAAAATGTTTTAAGACTTCAATAAAGGATACTCCGACTTCAGTTTGACAGGTAATTTGACAGATAATAGCTTCACACAAGACAGGACAAAAAGAAATGGGCATTTCTGAGCCATCAGGTCCCTAAAGTATTATAAGGGACAAAAGCAGAAACCATCCCTCCAAGGAGGGTGGGGAAGTCTCAGAGACTGATTTGGCTAGGGCACAACCTCTTCAGGAAACAAAAGCAAAAAACACCTTCTCCAGGAGAACCAGATTAAATAGTCTCTCCTGAGAATCTACTTTCCACTATGGTACACTGACTTAAAATACCATTGACCGTATTCATTCAGTATAATCATGCTTTAGTTTTACAAGTGCCAGGGAAATATCTTCCCTCCAGTGATGTAATTAAGAACTTGAGAGCAGGGACTCCAGGGTAAGCAGGAGCCAAGGTGAGAGCTCTGCTGTCAGGGGAGCCTCCGCATACACAGCGCAAATCGACTGTACAGGACAAGCACGCAACGGGTCACAAAGCCAAAACCAGCTTGGTTGCACACCCCACGTCTGCTGTGGCTTTGCTCAGCAGTTGCTTTCATCTCTCCATCCACACTTAAGGCCTGAAAAGTACAAAATTACAAGACCGCAATCCCTTTTATTAGTATCAGAGACCAGCGTCATCTGTTACTCTGCTTCACCACCTAGAAACAAAGCACAACTTGTCTTTGCAAGCCTTTCCAGTCCTATCATTACTCCCTGTGCTGGACTAGGAATGAAGAGCACTGACGAAGTGCACAAACATTTTCTCAGCAGGGCAACCAAGGAGTAAATCTCACTTGAGTCTGACCCCAGTAAGTACAGTCTTTTTAGCGTCCAATACTAACGTACGCATTAAAATCTGCTATTATGACACTTCTGCAACTAGGTCAATGCCTAACAGGTCAGTGAGACAGAACATGACGCCATATAGGAAGTAAAATCTCAAATATATTTAAAGGCAAATTAGCACCAGATTTTTGGCCAGTCACACGAAGCTAATGTTTTAAAATACCAGCGGCAAGTCACACAGAAAAACAACTGATACCAGCTCAGTGTAAAGGACATAAAAGCAGCATTTTCCTTGCATGGTGTGCCGTGCTCTGCTCTGCCTTAAGCTGGGACATAGGGAGTGGTTTCAGTACCGGATTCTACAGAATAGGGCCGGTATAGCAGAGAAGGAAGAGGGCAATAAAGATACTTTTACCTCATTTTTCAACACACTAAAGTGTTCTGTCAAATCAACAAACAAGCATTAAAAAAAAAAAAGAAGGAGATGAGCAATAGCGTCTCAAAATGTAACAAACCATCACTCATTGAGATTCAACTGTTTAAATATTTTAGTCAGTTTTACAGGGCTTGCTTTGATCCCAACAGCTATAAAATACATCCTTTATGGAAGGAAAAAAAAAAACCCACCACATTCCCGCATGGTTCCATCTGCTCTCATTGAAAGGATGTTTCAGCAGCAGTCAAACGTCTGGGCTGGCTTCCAGATAACACGAATGGCCAGGTCTCTTTTGTTCTCGGAAGGGATGAGCTCCAGCCATGAGCCCACTCTTATCCCCGGCCCAGGCCAATCCATAGGACGGAGCTCCCAGGTGAGCTAGTGATGCCCACTTATGCTTTTTTCCCCCCTCGGTTCAGGCCTGCAGGACAGTGCAGTCCCAGATACCGGTGCCACAGCTAAGCCTCCAAGTGCTTAGTGATCCTGCGAATTTTCTCCTTCTTGTTCCTGTTTCCGTGTTTTTTCCAGGGCTTTCCTACCACATTCCCAGGACTGGGTGTAGTCACAGGCACGAGGCCACTGCCGGGCCGGTATCCCATTGCAGCCCGGACCCCTTTCATCAGGGCACGAACGTTCTCCTGGAAGAGAGTCATAATCACCCGTGACCGATGAGAAGATACTTAACCACAAGGAACTGTGATATGTTACTAAAACCAGACACAGGCAAGCTCAAACCCTACAAGACCTGCTCAGCCCCCAGCTCCAGAGCTGCAGGAAAGGTCACGCCATGCAGCTGAGTCAAAGCCTGCCAGCACGCTCCAGTTCTGTCTGCAGCCATGCCTCGCTGCGCCAGGTCCTCAGCGTCTACCACTGCAAGCAGAGGGAGAGCGCTGACGAGACACTGAGCTCCGACAGACATTAGCTACGGCGCTAGGATTGATTCTCACAGTCTCTGCTTTGCACACAACAAATTGTCTTTGCAAATAAATCTGGCGTCTGTGAAAGCCAGAGACAAAAATAGCTTGCTCAAGTCTGGAGCGTGGGTAGTGGTGCCGGGGCTCACAGCTCCTGCCAGCACTTTGGGCAGCCAGAGGAAGAGTCTAGTAATCCCAAAAATTCTTTGCAGGTCATCATTTTCCGAAACAGCTCACTGTTTTTTGAAAAGAGCCCGAGTTCTTGTTTTCAAAATGCATGACTATCTTTAGCTCTGCTGAAACAAATACTCTTCATATCCAGCTAACCAAACAGAATGGATCATGCTATCTATGACCCATCCTCTTCACCGCTAAACACCCTGCTCTGATCTTTGTCAGGTATGCAGACTCAATCAGTTATGGATTTGATATTTCATTACGACTCATTAATAAATTTTTTCAGTAATGTAGGGGCAAAACAGATCCCTGTGGGACCTAACAAGAAGCATACAAGTTAAGAGAAATTCCCATTTTCCACTTCATTTTGAGATTTCTCAATTAGATTTTAAATCCGTTTGTATTCTTTTCATCTGATTTCAGGTTCTACGTCAAAACAACCATGTAGTACCAAATCAGTTGTCTTAAAGAAGCTTATCACGTCCCCTAAATACATCATCTCAAGAAAGGAAAGTTAGTTTGAAGGACCCGTTAGTCCAAAACCATGTTCCATCAGTTGCTGTGTCACGCCACCCTCCTTCCTTTCTTCCCAGTCACTCCCATTTGCTCAAGATTGACATTAGGCCCATAATGACAAGGGTCACCCCACTGACCTTTTAAAAATCAACTATGCACACCTCGTTAGCTATCTTGCAGTCACCTAGGACATTCCCAGTGATTTAGGGGATAATAAAAAGCACAGAGAGCTCTTGGGTAGAAATTACATGCAGATCCCACAGCATCTAACACCATTAACTCAACCCAGCACCCCTCCATACTCAAAGCTATTTTTTCCAGTAACTATGACACACCAGTGCTGCAGTAAAAACTCCTAGAATAAACCTCCTCCAGAATTTACCTGGTGGAAAAATGTTTTGTCCACCACATTTTCGATTTGTTTTGCTTTAGTATTCTTCTCAGGCTTCACCTGTCCACTGGCCTGCAGAGTTCTGCTCTGTGGGCATCTTTGATGCTGGTGCTGAAAATCGTTTGGGTCAATGCCAGGAGGTGGATGGCAATATAACAGCTTCCCCTGTGAAAGCAATGGGATACAGATATTACCAGAAAACCTCAGAGCGAGACCCAGAAAGGAAAGGAAACTACTCCAAACCTAAAAAGGGCCCTGGACTTCCAGGGCCTCACACTGGCAGACTAACTATCAGTACACTTTATTTCTCCTCGCAGGCAACAACTGGCTCGACTTCTAAGTTAAAGTACTGTTCCACCTCTACTTCAAAGCACCATTTCCAGCTGCAGTGTCCAGCTGCAAACAATAGAGTGCAAAACTCTCAGGAGTACTGGAGGATCCTGTTAAGAAATACTCAACAATAAGTTGCTGAGAGGTGCTGTAGAAGCATGCAGTATTACAACACTCGGAACTACAGCCCTTAGTGCCAAATACTAGTCCAACTGTACAATATGGGTTCGTTTCCTGAATATCTGCTGCCTATTTAGAGATATGATAATTTATTTAGCTAGCACCATATTTTTAAGCAATCATTTTTTGAGATTAAGCAGCTTGAGAAATTGCATTTATTCTTTTAAACATAAAAATAGCCTGATTTAAAGAGTATTTTGATATATGGTGATTTTATCCAGAGAGATAGAATTCACTTTATTGTGCTCCTTCACGCTCCAGCGGAACCTTCAATTCACCTCCTAGCAGGAAAGAAAACGCAGATGTAGGAAGCACTTACGTTGACATAGTCTTTTAACACGTATCGGGCTGATCTCGGCTGGTCTTGCTGTCCCTGAGCTGTCATAAAGCCTCTCATATCTGGAAGACAAATCCAAAGTACATTCTGTGTCAGTACAACAGGAGAATTAATACACTCTTCTCTACTGCCTAACTGCACATTTGTATCCTTTCTCAAAAAAACTCCCTTAGAAAGAGGCTTCCGTTGGGGAAAGCAGGGAAAATAGGGAACGTTGCTGACTGTAGAGGTATTGCAGAAGCATCCTAACCTGAAAGGAATGATGAGAGCTGACATCTCCCTGCCACCAGAAAACCTGCTGTTTTTTTGTTTTAAGGCCAGAGAAGATTAACTGCATCAGAGAATCAGACAAGGGAGATAAACCTTCACTGCATTCTTCAAAGTCTAATTCAAGACACAATTGGTGGGAGGTATCTAAAAGGATGAGAGCACCACACGACACAGACTGGCAGGGCATTTCACCAACATCCTCAGCACAATCACTACATCTGTCGGATGAAACTGGCAAAGCACCATTGCAACAAACCCATGAGATTAGCTGTTAACAAAGGCCCTTCCTGACAGGAGGGCAAGTCCTAATGGGGAGGTTCGATGCATGAGAAACCTGGGTTGGGCCTAACTTTAAGAAGTTCTCCTAAGGCCATGTTCAGGACCATGCACACAGCGTAGGTGATAGGTTTTAAAGGGATCGTCACTCACATCCGTATGCTGTTAGCAGCTCTTCAGCTGTTGGCTTTCGATCCGGATCCTCATCTTCCCTCGGCCTTATGATATTTATTCCATAGGTTGCTTCCAAAATGTTTCGTGGGATATGCTGGCAAACGTAAGCTAGTGAAGGAAACCACCTGGTGATTTTCAGCTACACAAGTAATCTTGCCCTAGTCACTCTGAGAGCACACATTAAGAATGACTTTTGGATTTTGTCGCAAACCAGAAAAACGAGGCAAGTCTGACAACAAGACAAGCTTGAAATGAGATGGGGAAAGACCAACACAGCAGGGCTGTTTTATCCAATGCATGTCCCCACCACCCTCAACGCATGAGCACGTGTGCCCCTAGCAGGGCTGGAACATGCTACATTGCATACTCCAGATCCAACGCTTGCAGACACTCTCACAACCCCCATGCAAAGGATATTAGAGAAATGGGTGGGACATGGTCCCTCATCTGGTCTATAGGCAGAATTCCAGAACAAATCATTTCTGCCTTGGTAGAGATGAAAGATGGCATCACCAGACCAGGGCAGTCACACAGGCACAGGCCAGGCTCCACATACAGGGTCTACACAATAAATAACCAATGAGTTCACCAAGGTAAGCCAGTGTCCATGGAGGAAAAAGGAACAACAAAAAAAAACAAACAAAAAAAATCAAATGCATAGATGGAACAAGGATGCAAATAAGAATAAGCAGAAATTCTACCAACACAGACATCTGCCCTGCTGGCCCCAGCCAATGAATTAAGGAAATCTGATGTGGGAGACAGCAGCCCTTCCAAGGTTCATAAATAAGGTGTCCAGATGGGGGCAGCAACACCTTCAGCTCTCCAATCTGATGGTAGAGAAGAAAGCACTCCAGAAACCTTTAACTATGTTGGACCTTTTGAAACAGGTAGGAGATTGAACAAGTACAAATCCCACAATGCTCATTATAGCATTGCAGTTGCTACCTCAAAATTAAGAGCTTGATCAATATGAAAACGGCAGCATAATTAGACTTATTCACAGCAACAACTGCTGACAAGAAGGATGGTTTGAAAGCTTGACCTTCAGCTATTCAGAAGGGCACTCACTTTTCAGAGGTTCTCTCCTCATGACTGGTGTTGAAAAAAGAAGGGCCAAGCTACTTAAATAAAAACAGGAGATGGAAAATATCTCCCGTTGCACAGCAGCTCTCATGACTGACTCTCAAACTGCAGCAAGAGTTTGGAAGCAGGAACTATAGTTCCAAAGTTACATACATCAAGCCCATCCCTCTCCAACCTAAACTCTGCTGGGCAGAGTTCAGGTTGGTAAACAGAGTTTTCAGTAAGTCCACATGGTTACAACTAGTTCATAATGAAGCTCTCTTCCACTGGGGAAAAAAATAAAAAGATGAAAAGATCAACGCTCTTTGTCAGCAATACCTGAAAGTGTTTTGTACGGCCTGGTGTAGCAGACACTGACACCTTCTTATTTCCAAGGATTGTGTTGATGGTCGAACTTTTGCCAACGTTAGGGTAACCCACCTGGATGACAAAGAAGTGGAATGGTAACAGTGATATCAGGCAGGGCGATGCCAGAAGACTCTGGCAGAGCTCTGACACAAAAGTACTTTAATAAAATGTACTGAAAAAAATTAAGGCAAGCAGTGGGGAAAACTGAGCTCCAGGAACTTAAGAATTAGTATTTGCACAAAACCCTCCGTGATTTGTGCTTGCTAGGTTTTTTTAACCTTATAGGAAGCCAGGCTACAGGATGAATTTTTCCCGTGGAAGGCATATGGAATTAAAGTTTAGATTAAGCGAGTTCCATCTAAGCAGAAAGTCCAACTCACCAGCCCAACATTTACTTCCCCATCCTTCACCCTTGGTCCACTGTGCATGGTTTTGAATATCTCCAGCAGCTCGTTTCTCTGTACCAGATGGCTAAAGTTCCTGATGTTCCTGTTCTGCTCCTGCACTACAGGCTGCACTGCAGCACCATCAGTCCTGCTTTCCATCCTCTCTGGGGCAATAGCGTTTACTTTGTCCCCGCCTTCGTCTTCAGAACAGGTTTGCCAGGCCTCCTCTTCATCATCTTCACAGTCTTCATATTCATCACTACTGTCATCGTCACTAACCAGAACTTGATTTACCGTTTGCAAAGCATTGCCTGTGGATGTGCTTTCTGCGCTATCTTGTGCTGTCTCATCATCTTCTTGACTGGAGCTTTCATCCTCGGAATCACTTGGGTCCTCTGCTACATCTCCAGTGTCTAGTTCCTGTGGGAACAGTATTTCATAGGTGAAATGTAAAGACAACACGAAGTCTTGCTGTTGACTGCAGTTGCTGCAGCGCAGTCAACTGTGTTTTCATCAGCTTACATCACACAGGTTTTTTTAGGGGTCTTAAGTAGGGTGTAGAAACAACTAGCCCGTTTTAGGAGAATGACAAAAGTATTCCAAGAGGGATTGTTAGCTTCATTGTGAAGTCGTTAGAGGTTTCTCTCCAGAAACACAACTCTGCGCGCACACCCACAGCAGCAGCACCCCCCAGCAAATGGTTTTTTTTTAAATTATCAAGTGTTCCTAGCAATAGGAATGAATGTAAATTTTTCAAAATGTTCAGAACACAAAGCCATTTTGTTTCAGGTCTAAATATTTCATTAAAATAATTTCAACCTGTCTTGTTTACAGTCCAACTCTACATTTCTTCCCTGCAAACAGTTCACATTCAAAAAGACAGACCTTTTCATAACAACAGTATTTTGACCTTTCTTTCTAAAAAAAGAAAACAGAACTAACACTTTCACACAAAGTCTTGCTTTTAAATCAATCTGTAAAAACATTTTATCCAAGGACTGTAAGCCAGCTGTTTAGGGTAGGTAGGTAATTTATACCAGTAGGTATTTCTGGAAGGAGATATGGGATGTTCCATAGCTGAATAGCGATGGCTGTAACAGATGAACGCAGTAAAACCTGAAAGCGGCATCTATTGATAACACATAACTTGGGGCAGCAGCACAGTTTGTTCCACTGGACAAAGAAAGGCTCTCAGGTACTTCAGGTTCTCTAAGAAACACCTCCCCCCCCGGGAGAGAAAAATCCTCTGTACAGATAACCACGTCCCTCACAGAATCCCTCTTGGAAAGGATTCCAATTCTGCCAATGAGTTAAGAGTTTGCAAACAGATCTACAAGGGCTGTTTCTGTAGCTATTCATGAGTAGCCTGATGAACAAATTTACATTCTAGTTCAGTATTATTTATCATGTCATTAACCTTTGAAAGAGAAATTGCAAGCACTATGAACAGCGACCAAACGGCGTACCACTTTGATTCAGAGACAAAAGTGAGGAGAGTAAAACGGTGAACAATCATTAAAATGCTGTTTTGCAGCTGCACAGGTCCTTAGAATAATCCTTCCTTGAGACAAGCACTGTGCCTTCCCTAGAAAGGTGCTCAGGTACATCACAAGCATAACTACAAAGCAAGTTATCAGAGGCAGTGAGCACATACCCAGCTGGAACTGGTCATCTACAGTACCTTTGCTTCTCCGGATAGCCGTTTGCACTCTGCCAAAGCTGACCAGAACACCACCTTAACACCCTCTTTCTCAAAGAACTGTGCCCAAGCTGCCCGCTGCTCCTCACTCAGCAAATCTGCTTTGTTTATCAGGATCATGTTCTCCTTGTCATTGCTGACTTCCTTAACGTAACTTTCCTGAAGAAAACAAGAGAAGGATCAGTTCCTGCTCCGGTTTGGACGACTCCTCCCCCCCAAGGTGATATAAGAGCAGCAAGACAAGTTACCCCATCCAGCTCCACACGAGTGCAGCTAAGCTTACCGTTCCCTGGGCTAGATGGAACTGGTGTTTAGCAGACAGCTACAAGAACAAATCGGAGCACGCAACTACTGCAATACAGGTTGTTTCTGGCCACGTGTGCAAACACCTTCCTGCTTAGAGCTACGACAAGATATTAATCAGCATCTCACAGCAGGAACTCCTAAGATCAACTATTTGAGCAATTTCATATCTCATTGATGCACAGTGTTCTACAGTCTATCATTTCAAAGCTGTCACTTCAACAGCTCTTGATCCTTCGCTCTCAGCACAGTAATCCTCACCCAATTTTATTCCACTATGCTTTTAAACAGAACAATTCCTTTAAGTGCAGACGCTTCTAGTGGGTAATGAGGAACAACGTAATATCTGCAATATAACATCTGCAGAACTGCCTCTAAATCCACAACACTGTGAAATACCAAAAAACACTGAAGAAAAATAATTTGATGCCAGAAGTCTTGCATAAATAAGACATCCAGTTAGGCACAACAGCAGAACAGCTTCAAGGTGGCTAAATGCGTTAAACAAAAAAGAAACCATATAAACTCTAAGAAATAAAGCAAAGACAACATTCAAGAAAGTGGTTTACTTACCAGATCTTGGCATCTAAACAGAAGGGGGTTTCTAGCATCTACTATCTGGACTACAATATCACTGCAAAAATAAAAGAAAGCCCCATAAAGTACTCTTTCTTACCTTGCCTCAAAGAAAGCAGCAAGGCACAGCACATTACTCACTTTTAGGTTTTGCTTGGAATTTTGATGGTTTTAACTGTATTATCCTACTAAGTACCTTTACTGAATTAACAAAGCATCTCAGCATCCCACATACCCCAACCGAGCCATTCTTACGCTACAAGCCAGTACTGCCATACAGTATTTCTGCCTCACTTGACTAATTCTCCTGTACAGCCAGCAAGGGGAAAAGAAGCATGTGAATTTTGCCAATCCATCTACCGTTCAGAATGCTCAGCAGGCAAGAACCAGAGTAGTGGTATTCTATCCTTTAGAATGTTACTAAAAACTGTGATAACACAACTTTGTTTCTGTCTATTCTCATCCCCAAACTGCGGCGAGGTGGCTACAGGGAGGAGAAGAGGTGGTTTTCCTACACAGCAAGGTACTCTGGAACACTGCTGTCCCCTTCGCATGGAGCGAGATGTACGAAGTCTCCCACAAACGACCTGCAGATTCTAAGCATTTGCTATCGGGCATTTTCAGAATTTCCTTTGTGCTCTTCTTGTCACAAAAAGCATAGAACAGTGAAAGAATAGTCTTAGACTCCAGTAAAACATGTTGCTCCCCCATGCAAGCAAGGCCTTGCAAGCATGCTTTTAGGAAACATCTTCCAAGTCCATACACCAGGTTGCCACCACATATATGAGCAAGACTCATCAGTTCTACACGCAAATTAAAGGCACTGGCTTCAGATACCAGAGGCATCCATGCTTCTTTTTTCTAAAGGAGGGGGAAAATTTAACTACAGCCTTTTCCACTAGGACTTGTCCAGGCAGGTAATTTAAAATACTGGTTGCCACATGCTGATTCTATTTGTTTGACAGGGATTTCTGTTAACTCAGGACAGCTGCAGAACACCACAGGTTGAATGAAAGAATTTCAAGCCTCACTAGGCAGTTGGTTACACATTTTAAAAAAAAAAAAAATCAATAAACCCCCAAGGGAGTCATTTAATAAGCTGCATGGGTACAAAGAGGTACTGAACAGTTACAGAAATTCAAAGATCAATACGAGAGAAAGCTGACACCATGGTACTGCGATGGGATACAGAGAAGTTACTGAATCACGCTGCTGGGAGCTAGTTTGAAGCAAACACAAGAAAAAGGCTGACAACAGATCAAATTATCTGGCAAGATAAGGGACTGGAGGAGTTTTCCATTTGATTCTGAGACAGCACCCTCACTCTACATGAAATAAAAAGCTCCAACAAGAGCAGAAAGGCGTTAATAACACATTCCAGCCACCTCAAAACACACAATACACTCATGCTGCACATCATGATATCCTATAGTGGATGCTCCCGACCCAGCTCTCTGCCGGCCAAAGGCCCAGCAACACCCAGTACAAAGCCACTTCTGTGAAAGGACCAGCTCACCATGACCTCACTGGTGAAGTATTTTTCAATTTTAGGAAAATCAGACGAGATGATCTCAAACTTAATTATTAGTGAAATTAAATGCCCCAGTTAGATTAACGTAGCAGATAGCACTCCTATTGTATTACAGCTCGGCAGAGCAAACAAAGCTATTTCTGTGATATGACAGGCTGTTGTCTTTTGTGCACTGCTGCAATTTCTCTGCCTGGCAAGAGGCCAAGGACCAAGAGGCTCTTTCTTTCCCAATGTTATTTAGTTGATCTCCCTTGCCTCCTACCCCGAACGTCAGGCTGCAGCTGTGCGGTTGAGAAAGAGGGGAGAGGGTTAATCTTGGCAAAAGACCTCAAAGACATAGTCTCAAAGGAGGCCTCCCACACAGAGTTACTGGAAGAGGCCAAGAGCAGCAGCATCTGAAGAATCATCAGAGACACGCAGTGAACCGCCTGCAGAATCGCAGTGCTGAGAGCTAGTGTGCACCACTAGGCAGCTGCCCTTCTTCACGTCACATTTTGATCACTTCAAAACAAAACCACCTCAGTGCTGATAATAAAACATTACTAACTGTAATTGTTTTTCCTGTGCTCAGACACTTCAAGCTTGACTCAAAAGCTTCAATTCAGGAAAACACATTAAACATTACTTTTAAAGAGCGGACAGTGATATACTTTACCTTCTTTCAATGACTCTCCAAAGCTGACGCCAAAATTCCAAGTTTCGTTCAAATGGGGTTAGAATTAACTGTTTTTCTTCCTCAAGACTAAGACAAAACAGAAAAGAGACATCATATCGGGCCCGTGTCAGGCAATAAGCACACCACCATTCTTCCTTAGATCCAGGAGACTTTAGTTTCAGAGAGCGCTATCAAATCAGACTCATATAGTAGGTACTATTTCTGCTAGTTTTGCAAATAGATCAAGCGCCTGGGTAAACTGGTGTCAGTAGCACCGGTTCAGCAGTGACACAATGGCTCCTGATCAATGGAGAAGTGGTAAATGATGGAAAGAGCACAAACTCATCAAAAGTCTGCCTGTGAAATTTCAGAGCCACAATAATAAACCAGAGAAGTTATCCCAAATGCCAGCAGTTATTACTCAATTGAGTACCACCTGGAAAAAAATAACGAATTTAGGGATGGTACCCGAAATGGCTCTATACAACCCTTGACCTGCTGTTACCACCGCCCGAACGACTTTACTCAGGGCAAGCGTGGGTTCGCAGGGTGTGAGCAGATACCACCTAACTCTCCAGGCCAGCAGATGCAGCACCGGACCAGCGCAAGCTGCCGTACGCAGGCTGGCAGCACTGCACTCTACTGAGAGCAGCACTGTTGCTCTTAGAAGACACATTCACCATTCCTCCACTTCACAGGCAAAAGCAGAACATCACACTCCACCCTGAAGAATTTTAACTGTAAACAGCACAAGAACATGCACACACAGGAGAGCTTGGCAGAGTTCATCACAAAGACTTGTCTGGACTGTGGCTGGGGTGTCCAGCCTTCCAGAGCAAGTACAGGGAGCTACTGACAAGACATTAATGTTATTGGTCCAGCAAGGATAAATACAACCCACTGCTTCCTCTGCCTCCAAATGCCACCAGCTACTTACCCAGACGCAAGTGGCATACTCACTGGGCAAGCTGTCGCCTCCATTCAAGAAAGCTCTCCCTCTCGGCTTGCTTCAAGTCCTCCGCACTGGTTGCCCTATCCCAACGTGGCCTGTAACAAGCACGTTTTGGAGTGAGTGGTCTGTCCTGGTTTCGGCAGGGATAGAGTTAATTTCCTTCCTAGTAGCTGGTACAGTGCTGTGTTTTGGATTTAGGGTGAGAACAATGTTGATAACACACCCATGTTTTAGTTGTTGCTAGGTAGTGTTTACACTAGTCAAGGACTTTTCAGCTTCCCATGCTCTACCGACTGAGAAGGCTGGAGGTGCACAAGAAGCTGGGAGGGGGCACAGCCAGGACAGCTGACCCAAACTGGCCAAAGGGATATTCCATACCATGTGATGTCATGCTCAGTATATAGAGCTGGGGGAAGAAGAAGGAAGGGGGGGACGTTTGGAGTGATGGCGTTTGTCTTCCCAAGTAACTGTTACGCGTGATGGAGCCCTGCTTTCCTGGAGATGGCTGAACACCTGCCTGCCCATGGGAAGGAGTGAATGAATTCCTTGTTTTGCTTTGCTTGTGTGTGTGGCTTTTGCTTTACCTATTAAACTGTCTTTATCTCAACCCACGAGTTTTTCCTCACTTTTACCCTTCCGATTCTCTCCCCCATCCCACCGGGGGGGAGTGAGCGAGCGGCTGCGTGGTGCTTAGTTGCCAACTGAGATTAAACCACGACAGTCCTTTTTGGCGCCCAACATGGGGCTCGAAGGGTTTGAGATAATGACAGGTTTGATTGGAATGTGCTAGATCGAATTTATACCTGTTATAGCTGTTTAGCTATTAATTGGCAGGCTCCTGTGCTTGCCATGGGGCTTGCGTGAGAAATAGCAGTTAGACCAGTTACACTACTGCAGTAAACATCCACAAAGGACACAGGCACCACACATTCAGCTACACCGAGATGGTTATAGTTTAGACGTGCAAGCACCTGTTTTCAGCAGCTTTAAGTACACCTTTTTTCCTTGTTACTTCTAAACTCCACTAGCTGAGAGGACACTATCCTATGCACACCAGAACTCACAAAGCTGTTTTTTCAAGCTAAGATTTGTAGGTCATTCAAGATGGGAGATTCATCTCTCCGTCCACCACGCACAGAGCTCTGGAAAGGCTTAGCAGGTGGCCTGGATGTACCAGCAGTGCCGGGCTTTGAGCAGGAAACCCACACAACTAGGACAGATGGGCTGGGGCTGGCAGCACCCGCGCGGCAGGCAGGCACCTGTGCTGCGGGTTACAGCAGACTCATGCAGGCCAGGTAGCGGCTCCCCCAAAAACAGGGTATTGACAAAGCAGAGGGCTGTCTCCAGGCTTGTAGCCACCGAGGGGCTGAGCCCACTCAGCAGAGAGGGATCCAGGCCCGACCCTGCAGGACTCGCCTCCGTGGGATGCGCAGGAACTGCCGGTTCTCCTCATGCAGCTGCCGGACACGCTGGGCCTCCTGGGCCGTGAGCAGGCCAGTGCGGCTCTGGGCTGACACGATCTGGATGTTCAGACGCTCTGCAGGAAGGGAGAAGCAGTCATCCAAAGCCAGCTGTCCCCAGCCCTGCCTCTCAC